TTAATGTTTTTTTACTAACAAGTTTGTGTCCCCCAATTCCAAACACATGCACTAACACATACGTATTTAAGTCTTAGTATTTAAACACTTACAACGCAGGTAAATTAACACTTATTGTGAAACAATCAGTTTATCCGCTTGTTAGCAAACAGTTTTGTCTCTTACTGTTAGATATTGAATGGTTTATCCGTTGTGAAATAGATAAGTAAGCGTTTGTAGGCACGCTGTTGGTAACAGTTCATAAGCACTATTTTCAGAACCATTGGTTGAATCGCTTGAATACAAGCACATGCGAATGGGTCAACCGTTGTAAAATTTAAAGTGTAAAATTGATTATTTAAAAGATTCGAGACACACCTCTATCTGCTGAGAGAGAATGATGAGCAAATTAATCACAAGCCTCTGTGAGAAAGCTGTGCACATGATCTTCTGTATTTATTTTGTTCACTGCCACCTCCGGCCCATAAATAATTGTATGTGCAACATATTTTCTCCGACCGACGACTATATTATTTATCAAAATGTTAGAGAATATTTAAATCACAAGGACCACTTGTTTCTATTCGATGTCGTGTTGTGTACGTTTGTGTAAGTTGTGTAAAAAGAAAAACGGAGTACTAAATGTAATATTGTTGCTTGTTTCATAATCCGCGAAAGCTTATGTCCCTTAACTACTCCAAACATTATTTTAAAGCGAGCTCTTCTTGGTGTCCTTATGGAATAGCTTTGCTCGTCGCAAAATGTGGTTACGCTCTCCAAATCTGGGAGTGGAACCTACTCCAGATACAAGTACCCTCTCTTCCGTTCTTGGTATGTAATAGTAAGGAGAATCTAGCAGTCAAAGGGTCATATCCCTCATGCATAATGATGATGACAATTACGATCAACTTGCGGACGCCAAGTTCTGGGCTTTTAATCAGCCTTCAATGGTTCACCAATGGTTTTACATTTGATGAGAACGAATTACATAATGTCATGAAGTATTTTGTTTGTCACTTCAGGTTATCTCTTAACGAAATGTTAAACCATTATGACTTATAATTTCATATATATTTTCAAAGAATGTCGTTATTGCTTATGTGGGGTTAAGAAGACTTTAATGTCAAGTGTTTCCTACAGATATTCCATTTCATTCGTTTCCTTTTCATTTCTATATGGACTATCCCATGGTCACAATATCACCATTATCACAAGGAATTAGTATGTTTGGATTGTCATGCAATGCTCATATTGCCTATTTATCTAGCGGTCTACTGATTGCACATCGTACGTCATTTCACCTTAATAATGCTGACTGCCTGCAGGGAATAATATAGATCATAATATGATGACCATGCTATGCAACCTTCGGGGAATCAGCGCCATGTCATGATGCACCACAAGGTCAATCTCCCTGATTGCACCAAGACTACCTTCATCTACATCAATGTATATGTAGAGTCTTACTAAATTATATTCTTTTTCTACATTCAAGTATCTCCTTATCCCGTTTTTAAGTAGTGTACGTTACCAAGGTAACAAGTACAACATCATAGGATCACCGGAAATCAATGTATATTCTCAAATCTGTCCATTTCACCGTAATGCCAGTGAAGAAAGAGTTCGGAAAAAAAACCGTTAAAGTATCGGAAGATGCTCTCGTGTTTTAAACAAACCTACATCTCAGTGTGGTACAAATGATGCAGTCACATATTGATAAAAACTGTGTCACATGCCGAAGAAGAAATGTAGGACGGGCAAAATGAGCATAAATTAAAAGTTTTGGTGAGGTGAATTGAGAGGATTATACTTAAATCTCTAAAAAAAATAAAGATTAGACAATATGCAATACCATTTACGTAGTCCATCAGTAAAATTAATATGTCAGAATTAAAAAAAAAAAAAATTATTGAAATAAAGATTTTGGATAATTATTTCTTACACTTTTGTTATTGAAACAGAGTTAGTAGTAACCTTTAATGTAAATACTAATAGTGATGAATGGCGAAAAGAAGAAGAATAAGAGAATGAAGAAGGCGAAGAAAGTAGTAGTACTAGCATTAGTAGTAAAAACAGTAGGAGTAGTAGTAGCAGTAATAGTAGTAGTAGTAGTAGTAGTAGTAGTAGTAGTAGTAGTAGTAGTAGTAGTAGTAGTTGTAGTAGTAGTAGTAAAAGTGGTAGTAGTAGTAGTAGTAGTGGTCATAGTACGTTCTTAAAATTGGGTAAAATTAGGCCAGCATGAGGATAATTATGTATCTAACCACCTTCGGGCATTTTCTTTACCCAGCTTGAGTAATATAATATCCATGTAGGATAACAATTTAGAATAATAACTTTAAAATGTCCAAAATATTAAGCAAGTTATGTTTAACATACGTAATTAGTCTCACGGCACATTTATTACCCAGTATTTTAAAGGATGTAGTAGTATTAGCAGTAACAAAAGTGTATATTAGTAAGACAAGTTGTATACAATGCCTCCCAGAAAGAAAACGAACATGTCTTAATACATCAGAATGAGCAGACCAATAGTAATATTGTCACAAAGCTCTTTTTTCTCTGGCTTAATCCCAAATTATTATCCTGATATGTCACGATGTGTTTTGACATGGCTCGGTGATGCATGTACATATGGGTACTATCAACATATCTTTCAAAAGGAATTTACCTCATCTCTGTGACAACGTTAGGTTCAAAGTCAAATTTTCCGAAATACATGATTAGATTCTCGTGAGCTAGACTATTTTCATGTTCAAATTTTCAGTTGATCAATAAATCAAATCATATCAAGAAATGGAAATGCAAATTAACAATTCGTTAAAGGGTTGTACCTTTAATAGTAGGTACTGGACAGCTTAAGCATTAGCGGTAGAATGAAAACATGGATATCATGGTTATCATTATAGTTAGTATTGTTGTTTTGGGGGTTTTAGTTTAGTACTGCTTGAAAGATCAAAGTACACGAGAGCATTATTGCTCTATAGAGCACGGCTTACCCGATGACTGTGCTCTCTTTAAAAAAAATGCAAATTTAATCTATACAGATAACCTAGTGACGATTATATATCTACATTAAATATAAAAAAGTATTAACATTGTATCATACTTTCAAAATATAAATTATGTCATGATAATCATAAACGCGTATCTTCTTCACAGCCTACTGATAAAAGATAGATTGATGACAACGGATGTATGATGGGAATAATTCATAACGTGAATGTCTTGTAATTGCATTCGTCACCGGTATCGTCACGTGGCTTGCGTGAACATTATACTATGATTGTTTCTTCCCCCTCTCCCCGTAGGTTTTCCTGTCACTTCTTATTTCCACCTCTATATTTTATATTTTATCATGTCAATGAACACATGATGTAAACTACACGAGGAAATGTGATAAGCCTATGCCTTTTAATGTCTTTACTTGGTATTTCCCCGGACAATTGATTAATGTAACATATACGTTTCTCTTATATTCTTATCCAATCTAATATAAGAATGTTCAATGATACCTGTAAAAGTGATTGATGAGTGCAGCCAGCCTCGATCATTTACCAAGTTCACGGTGAAAATCTAAAGTCTCATATAGCACACCCAATAACTAAATGTTGTGTCGAAATATATTCCTGCCATCGTCCTAGGGATTTGAAAGGTATTTACAAAGCTGTATCAGGAATGTACCAATTGTTTGCATTGTCATCGCAGTTCATTTGTGCATTGTACACCATTTACACGCAGTCGTAAACAGCGAACGGCTAATGATCTAGATAACTTGTAGATAAAAATCTAGTTAGAACCGAAAAACATCTAATATATTAATAAAAGAATAATGATCGGGCGACGTTAAATTATAAGATACACGAACAGGTATACAAAAAGGCTACATGAGATACAAAGTGAACTTAATTCAAATAATGATAAATATACTTTGTTTACCTATGAGGCTTATGTATTAATCTGATAATTATAATCATATAAACCTTGAAATAAATATCCTGACTTAAGGCGTTTGAGACACAATATACATTAGAACATTTTGTTAAATGAAAGTAAAGTGCAAATGAGTATTATGAGGGTATCAGTATGCGTGTCATAATATTAATGAAAGTAATAATTTTTGATCTAATTGCTTTTCATGTTATCAGCACATCAAAGAGAATAGTTTAAACCCAGTTTTTATACCTTCGGGTATGTGAATGAGAAGAGGATCTATCTTTCTAAAGTTGCTAGCATTAAAGTGTGCCACCCTACGGCTGATCAAGTATTTGTAAAGTGCGTAACAACGGAAGCCTTTTAGCAAAGAGAATACCCGTTGATGATGTTAAAATATCAAGGTGAAAATGGATGATTCATTTTACATTTCCCATAAAGGTTGAGCAACCATAGAGAAGGGAATTCATAGCCAACGATATGACTTTGGCTAACATGGCAAAACTGCGCACATTTGAGGTAAATCTAGGGTTTCTTTAAACAGGGATGCACGTCAATGAAGGGTCTTTAAGCAACATCACAAATTCTTAGCCAAGCTCCAACATATTACTGCGAAAATAGCGATTAATTTGTAATTGGGAGGAGTGTCTCTAAATTACAATCTGAATGTTAACATTTGGTTTTAACCTACTGCATATAATTCGGGTAAATATTTTCAGAATTCTGCGAAAGATAGTTAACTCATTAAGTGCCTGAAATTATTTTAAAAAATGGGGAAAGGCTTGCAAATGATTACTTATTACCGATTTATCTGAATGAAAGCCATCGACCAGTAAAGATGACATGTGAAATGTATTTGACGTAGACGAATTCCTCATCAAGGGTACAGTAGTTCATTAATAGATTATGGTTGTAATATTGAATAAAGAAAACATTTTGATGATAATCATACATCCTGGGGAAAAAGCATTGATATGCTTGATTCCACAAATAAAAAAGAAACATACAACAAATATGTCATGCTAAAAATATCGTTTCTGTCTCTTAAAATGGAAATATATATTCACGAAGAGATAAACACGCGAGCTTACCGTTAAAACTTTCATCCAGTGTCTAAGAGAAGTCTCGGTTCAAAATCTGAGCGAAAGTTTGTATTAGGCACGTAGTTGAACTCCTGTCTCCACTCCGTCAAAATATCGGCAAAGTCAATAGCGAGTGTTCCGCTTCCAATCGTAGTATTCCCCTATAAACTTGATATTGAATATGTTAAACCGTATACCAGTGGTAGAAATGTAGCCAAACGGCAGAAGTGTGCTGTTAACACTACTTCCCCCTTAAAATAAAGTACTGTCCATGTATTTTCCAATGTATATTTTACCTTTGTAATCTTTGTCCATCCGAGTTACGTCGATTTGAAGAAAACTGAATACTAAAGAATACACTAAACTCGTACTTGATTGTAGAATAAAAGCTGAATGGTTCGTCCTATCACACTGCTCCGTATATACCTCGCCAAAAGCAATTTGGTCGACTGTTGCAACAAATCAGGATCTTATAAATATCTTCTCAAAGTCGACGTGGGTGAATAACGGTGCTAATATATCAACATTGGTTGGTAGTATATTCTAGTCCAACTAAATACAACCCACACGATTTCTTTTCTTACCAGCCCTTTATTTTCACTATTTCTCTCAATCAAGCCACGTGTATGTGGGATGGAGTGTATCTATCAAAAAAGTACACACACTTTGCGCGCGGCGTCTTCCTGTGGACGCCACTGTAATGAGCAGGAGTTTGCTGATTGTATGGGAATCGGTTCGTTCAGCCCACCATACGTGCCACATCCAGGCAATCAACTGGCCCGCTATTTCTATCGTTAATACACAAAGCTTTTCTGGATTTGTTTCCACCTATCTCTGCACCTGCTTGCTACTCAATCCCCAAATTATTTTTTATCTGCAAAACTATGTGAGCAGGTAAATTTTGCCGATTGTGCGCTAGTACTGCATCTTTCTTCGATTTGCAGTAAAGCAAGCAAGCCACAATTACCCCAGATATGCCATAGATGGTTTTGAGGTCGTGCAACGGAACTACGGTCGTGAGGCTTAGGCAATTATGATCGCCTATTGGCTGATTGCAAAATGCAAATTACATGACGTCGACTATCATTGGTTTGGATAATCTTTAAGGGCCCGTCAGAGTTGCATGGCACCAAGCTAACTGTCAATTTTACACAAACCAGTGTTATTACTGTCATGCCTTTCAATTAGGCCGATACTCTATTTAAAAGTTTGTATTATACCGCATCACGATACTTTTTAAATCATAATCATTTATAATGAAGGATATGATATTCACCAATTTTCTGTTGTTTATGTTCACCTTGTACCATCAATTGTAAACATTTTCTTTATAACTATACAAATTACCGATATATGACTAAGTCTACCCAGAAGCACATCCAATGATTGTGAAAAGAATAGTACCATATACGGAAATTTACTCATTCAGCAGTTTGTAGCTGTCTTGATTAGTCTCACATTTTGCTTATTATTTGATTTCATCGTTTGAAAAAGCGGGGACAATAATTATTACGATTGAAAAGAAAGAATGATGATAGCCAGTCTGAACGGACAAAGTGACCCCTTATCAAACTCTCTAAGAGACGATTTTTCACTCTAGTACATTTGCTGTATAACTAATCTAATTTGAAAATGTTTCGCTCCTCCTGGATGGACTCGTGATCGGAGAACGATATTAGACTTGATTAAACGTCTCTATTATAGGCTTGCATTGAAGTACATTATTTATATTGGCTTGAATGGAACTACCATAGGTTTAAAAAATCATTACAAAAATAGAAATACAAATTAATAAATAGAATGAGCGTCAAGCCTCATCCCATAGTTCAGATGAGTATTGGTATTATCAATAACCCAACAATAGATTGGTCTAATAGATTGAAATATTTCAGATAACAGGAAAGAGCGTCAGAAGTTTTGGTTTTGAGGAAGGTCAACTTCAAACCGTGAAACATGTCATACAAACGTTTTCCCCTTTTCTTCCTTTCACAATAGGTATCTGCCCATGCCCATCCTCTTCCTTTGTCCCTCATTTCCACCTGACATTGACTACGTAAAATACCTTTTTATGAGGCTCAGTGTCTTAACGGATTTCTTCTTTACTTTGATTGTGTTATTTATGAAATCGTTCTTCCGCTTTTCTTGCGTTTATAAAGAATTTAGTGTTTATCTCTTAACAATTGAATTTTGAGCCTGTTTTGCATTTCTACAACTAATATATATTCATAAAAACCATTTACACATTAACCAAATTATAACTCGCCTTTTCTTAACCCACCTGTAATAATTTCCAAGAAAAAGCAATTTGTAAACAACAAATTCGAAAGAATGACGAAAAGGTACATTTAGCTCGGTAAACAAAATAATTCGTAATACTGGTTCCTGTAATTGATGGAGAAACATGTCGCTACCAGCAGTTTTTCTCACTACGAGCCATTTGCCGCCCTATGTTTTCCGACTCATATCCGTCTTGTTACCATTTCAAGCAGTGACGTCACTTCTGCAAAGCGATGCATACGGGCGACCTGGTTTAACTCGTGGAGATATCGACGAAAAATCTTAAAATATCCTTTTAGAGGGGTCTTAAAGACTTTATGCATACACTGCTTATCTATTTGATTTCAAATATGCCGTTCTGTGGGTTGGTATATATGTGAAGGATGCCCCCATCCCCTATTCGTGTGATGGTATTGACCAATTTCATATGGGAGAGATCTAATTTTAGGCTAGCCCGTCATTTCAAAAGTTCGTTGGCTTCTCATCTTCTATTCAATCAATAAATAAAATGGAAAGTCAAGATCATAGGGCATTCTAATGCGTTTCATTATCGAAACGTTTTCGTTCATTTAACCATTATACTTTTCGAAGAGGGATCTTGTTTATCGAGATCGAAACTGTATGCGTATTGAATGCATGACTTGTATTAACTGTGAATATATTTTCTTAATGATAGTCCCATGTTTATACGATAAAATAACTAACGTCTCCATTTACACACAAAATGAATGTGAACGCTTCAACTAGAGAAAGCAAAATCTTTATTCAGCATTCTGTTATGAATTGTCACATCATATATTTCCGACATTCATCATAAAAACTGCTTAAAGAGTGTAATGAATCTTCTGACTTCTCCAGTCTGTGTTGTAAAGATTCATATAATCAATGATGCTTAAATCACTAAAAAAAAACATCGGTGGATTTTTTCATTTACAAATAATCATGATAATAATGATAATAACTATTATTATCATAAAAGTAATAATCATAATAGTTGAGGTTATTTTTTACAGCGCTCGAGCATTTTAAGGGAATAATTCATGCCAAGTACCAATTTATTTCACCTGGTTGGAGTGTGGTAAATATATATTTATTTTTCACTCAGTGACATTAGTGTTGTGGCAAGGATTAGTCCGGAGACTTATTCACTGGACCCCCTCATATCTAACAATCCGTTATTTTATAATGTTATGAATCTTGGTGATGGTCTCTTTCATTTGTATTTATTCTTTCTGAATGAAAATCTCAATTCAGTGTAGATATCAGTTTTGTGATTTAAAGCTGTTTAAAAACTCAAGATCGTTTCCCTTTCCGTAACTCTGGATAACTACCTCAATAAAAATCAATTTGAGGCGATTCCAATGAGCTCGCGCGGCACCTATCAAAATGAGGTATAATGCAATCCGAAAATGATTTCTATGAGATGTAAAATAGGGAATTGCAATTTCACTTAAGTTGATGTTTCGAAAAGAGTTATGATTGTGTTTTGAGTAGATAAAACCGTTGCGCTGGTCCAAGACTGTTTCCACAAAAAATAAACGTATTTGAAAAGCATGGGCTGATCTTTGAGTTGTTTCTTTCTTCACCCGCAAGTGTCTTTATTCTAAAAGAAAAATCATTTTTGATATATTTTAAAGATATTCTAGAGGGTACAAAAGATACTGATATATAAATGAAATCAGCACAATGTTCCAAATAATTCAATGAATGAAGTGATACAAACAATTCACAAGACGAAGTACTATCCGGAAGATAAAAAACCAAGACTTGTTGCCGTGGATATCATACACCTGTCTCGAACTATAGATAAGGTAAAATGCATTAGCAGAGTATAAAGTATGAGTAGGGAAAACCTCCAATGAGTTTGTGATTCGTAAAGTGTTTCTTAGAATGATATATCCATCGCCTGAGGATGTATCATTAGATAATAAGGATTTCACGCTTCTCGAGATGATCGCAGATTACTTTTATGTAAATGTTATCAAGACGGATATATTTATAGTGTGTTTTCAAATTAAGCTTTTCCATCGAAACCTCTTATGGTTTGAAAGAAAAACCACTCAAGAATGTAGTATAGCATCTAGCATCTATATAGCATGTAATAGATCCTATAATATTGGACAGCTTGTACTTTAAAATGTTATGAGATTTGTCGACACTTATGATTTGCAAACCAAAATTGAGTTTCAAAAAATTTATAGGGAACCAAACAAAAATATTGAAAGGAGTAAATGCTGGGTGATTGTTTATGTCAGCAAATGAAATTGTGCCAATCAAGATACATTTAGTTTTTTTAAAGAGTATTGAGTTAAGTCAATAATTATGTAGCTAATAATCTGGAAGCTAAAGAGTTGAATTTTCCGCGGAGTGTTGATAATGACCATACAGACAACATCGTAAGCGTGGGTGTCAACAATTGCTCTGGGAAAATTGATTAACTCTTTTACTATCTGTAAACTTAGATAGGGTTTGATTTCCATATTTCTCATAATTGTTGTCTTCCTCGGGTTAAAGTTATGATTTATCTATCTCGGCATGCAAAAGCCTGAAACTACCTTTACTACGCACCAAAGAGTGGGGGTCACCCACCCACATAAACACACATGCATGTATAAACCCATCGGCATACGTTCAGAAAATGAGAGAGATAGAGAGAGAGAGAGAGAGAGAGAGAGAGAGAGAGAGAGAGAGATAGACAGAGAGACGGAGAGACAGAGAGACAGAGATATAGATAGAGAGAGAGAGAGGGATAGAGAGAGAGAGAGAGAGAGGGGGGGGGGGGGGTGTGAAGGTAAAACCTGTCTCTCATATCAAGACGTACGGGGTCAGTCGTCATTCCTCTACTATTGGCCGCGAACAAAATCGATCATTTTCGAGAAAATCCTCTCGATGACATTCTGTAGAAAATGGAATGCAGACTGAAGTCATTATGTTAACCAGCCAATACCTATTTCGAGACCATGTAATAATTAGGCATTCTAAACACTTGTATATAGCATGCATTCTAATTTAACTCACATACATGTATGTCTAAGTCCCAGTTAACACTTATAATTTTAAACAGAAATTAGTTCGTTATGATAATTAGGGAAGATCCTGTATCTAGTACAGTAACTATGACTTTAAGAGATCCATGATTGAAGAGAGTGATTTATTAATTGTATTGTATATTTATTCAATAGGCTTTAGTAAAAATGTTATTGAATTAGATCATATGCAATTGGTTAATTGCCAGACGCGGGTAGATATGTTTTAGTTTGAGCTGCTAATGAGGGCATGTATTGGATGGTCTACATGTCTATGTGGATGGACCACTTGAGCTACAGGGCGTGTAGATACGAAACACGATCGACTTCCGTTGATGTAAGTCATCCGTCGGTAGCTAGAGGCATTCCTTGATCACGCTGGAGATACAATAGCTGCTAGCAACCTGAACGGAAAATGATGACGGCGTTAGATAGCACTGACTTCCATAATTCACTTACCATGATTTTCACACTGTAACAACGGAGAGAGAATTACCTCGGGCCATCCAAGTGGAGCCGTGAAATAGCAATGAAGAAGAGAGCAAAAACTAACAGAAAATGAAATCAACAAATAGCCGAATGAGGTACCTGATTTTGTTTCACAAAGGAAATGAGAATCAACCTTCTTCCGTATGCTGATACACGAGATGAACTTCAAGTTATCACATCA